TGACATGGTTTATGGTCAAACCACACTGAAGTATCGACTGAAAAATCATCATGTCACTTTTGTTGACCACATTCAACTGCACGCCCGCTCTGATTGCTGTTTTAACACTGATTTGATGATTAGTCACTTTTAAAGAAGCTAATCTCAAATAAGTAATCAATTAACCCAAAATAGTGTTAGGCATTACTACGGCTACCCCAGGCACGTGCCACCTAACATATTGTGTTGCTCTCGGTTAGATAGTTAAAACAATCACACAATCAACATTATCCTTCTACAAATAGTCATATCATATGATGTGCAATTATCCTGTGAAGTGTCTGAGAAGAAATGATTTTAGTTTGTTAGCAACACAGGAACAATTTGCTCTATATTTTGTGTATAGATGAGAATAACAAATAACTTCATGATTCAAGGTATTGGTTGTTGGTGTTGACCCGGTGGCTCAGGGGTAGTGGCAGGTTTGTATTCAATATCATTATTGCTAGCTGGGGTATCCATCCCCATGGTAGCTCGAGTTCTAGAAGGCATTCTCCCCTCTATATCTCAATTTCTTTTTCCTGTGATCAAAGCTCTTCTAGCCTTCATCAGGATCCCTGCTGCTGATCAGCGTAGCGGCTCGCGAGATGTTAGATGCCTCAGATAGGCAGTGGAAGGTTCTTAATAAAAAAACAAGCAATCCGGGCCATAACCTGTGGGATGTCTCAGTGGTTGTATTAGCATGCAAGCAGCTGAGGCATATATGTGCGGTGCGTTAGTCCGTGACGTGAAGCACCACGGTGTAGTGTATGTGGGACTATCTATTGGACATACTGCTCGTACATGCTCTAAGCATATAGAAATTATCTCATAATATAATTAATTGTATTCTCTTTGTTCTTGAGCTCTTTTATGCTCTTAACTCTGATTGCATGGTAGGAAGTGTTTCGCTTGCTTATGTGTTTCGCTCGCTTATGGATTACGTTAAATTGTAGATGGATACTGTGGGATGGTTGATCTTCTCATTGTGCGATCGCTA